GGAGCAAAAAGATCTCATTTTCAAAAGGGATTGCACAATAAAACTTTTCAGCAAAAACAAAAATATTTATGGAAACAGGTAAATCACCAAGATGGTAAAACATCAAAGGTTCTCAAATTAAACAAATTGAAGTAGGAGGACTGTCAATTATTGAACCAAAACAAATAGCTAAAGTTTTTGCAGACCATTTTGCCACCTCCACAAAAAAAGCACTACAGTCTCATTTCAATGATTTGAATTTTAAAAATTTTACTGCGTCGTGTGTCTCTCAGACCTTTTACTTCTCTCCTCTTGATCATCGTGATTTAATTGAAGTTATTAAAAAATGTTAACTCTATGGGCATTGACTGCATTTCCACAAAGATAATAAAACGTATTAGTCATCACATCTCTCAAATTCTAGCAGACTTAATTAATCAGTCTACTCAGCTAGGTATTTTCACAGATTATCTGAAAGTAGGATATGTAACTCCTATCTTTAAAAAAGGTGATAATAATTTAATTGATAATTATAGACCTATTACAGTGCCTACTAAGCAAAATCTTTGAAAAGTGTGTCTACAAAAAAATGCTAATATTTCTTAAAAAATATGAAATAATATGCAAAAATCAAAATGGATTCCTTCCAGAAAAATCTACTGAAAGTGCAGCAATAGATCTTTTTAATTTCATACATACTTCTATCGATCAAAAGTTGTTTGTGGGTGCCCTTTTCTTTGATTTCATAAACGACCTTCTCAATGATTTTTTCGATACAACTTAACGTACTAATAGGCCCTATATTTGTAGCTTTATTTGCATTTTTTGTCTTTGGAACAGGCACTACCATAGCAATTTTTAGAGCATTAGATATTTTTGAAATTTCTAATGACGAATTTATCAAATTTAAAAGTGGTTCTGAGAGGTTGGGAAAACAGTTTTTTAAAATATTAATGTTAATGTCATTTGTACTACTTTTATTTTTCATTGCAAAAAGAATGTCTCTTAAAGAATCCACCGTACATAGTTGAAATTTTCCAAGAAAATGTCCATTGTGTCTGTCTAAAATTTGATAATCTGGTATTTTATGATCAATACTAGCAATCGATTGGATACTGTCTATGTAAAATTTATTAAGATCATTTGACATGTCAAAAATATTTTTTATAATAACATTATTTTCTAGTTTAAGTTCAATTAAGTTATTCTTTGCAATCAGACATTCAAGATATTTCCACATTTCCTTTGAATTTCCCCTACTTTCGTAAATATTTTTCTGTATGTGTTTACTTTTTTCTGTTCTAATTACATATGTTAACTGCTCTATTTCTATGCATTTCGTATTCATTCCAATTATTTTCTGTGTTTTCTTGCGAATAATTTTTATATGCAAGGTCTCTGTACCTTGTGGCAGCTTTTACATTTTCATTTTTTGTATTTAGGAAATATATTTATTTGTTTTTTTGGCACTACAGAATCTAATATGTTTAAAATATTTGTTACAAAATTATCATATTTTGCATTATAGTCCAATTAAATAACGAAAAAAAGCCCCTTCGAGCTTACATTAATTTGTAATTGGATGAAACAAAAAGGACCTTGTGTATTTTGATGTGATCTTTCCGAAAAAAAGAAAAAAAAGATGTAGCAGTTTTTCAATTTTTTTTAAATTAGGAAAAACCGGGTTTTCAGGAATTTTCCATTGTAAAAATGCTAATTATCTGGGCAAGTATCATTCCGATAGTGAAAATAAATGCACCATTCGAAAGAGGAGGCAAAAATAGTTCGGAAATTCATTGCACAGGTAGTTTTAATGGCGAATTTCTCGCCGCCAGAAGTGCTTTTACCAAAAAGTCGTTTTTTCGTTTTTTTGATCAGAACCATGGACATGAAATTTGCGATGAATTTGTGGCGAAATTATAAATGTTAGACATATGTGCCCATGAGAGAAGTTGCGTATTTTTTTGTTGGCTCTCAAATAAAATAAGTCCCGCGGCGAAATCTGGAAGGAAACCAGAGGCGTAGTTTTTTTTAAATTTTTTTCCCATGTGATTTTTTCCGGGTTTTCCGAAAACATCTAACAAAATAAATATATTTGAAAAAACTAACTTCGCCATCGAAAAGAGCACAAAAAAATACACAAAAAGGTATACTTTAAAAATGTTAGGAAATTAATCCTAAGCCTGAGTGTAAGTTCCAACTTGGTGATAAGCTTGCTTTTTGTTCGCTAATATCTGGTAATTCTATATTTTGCACAAAACTCAAGAAACGTATTATAACAAGTCAGTAAAATACAATTTAATAAATTTTAAGCCTAATAAATTTAGATATGCAAGAAATTTAAAACTGGAAATCGCAAAAAATCAAATTACAGTAATGTAGTGTATACACGAGTTTTGGATCCCGCGGAGCGCGTGTAATGGGACTTTTGTCGGGAGAATTCTACAACTTAGAAGAAACATACACACTTTAAACTTTGTATACACATTTAGAAAACATGAAATTTGGGTTTGTTTAATTTTCAGACAAAAAAACTAAAAATTGTCAATTTTAGGCAACTTTTCTCAAAAACCGTGTTTTTTGGTCGTCACTCAATGAACAGTTGTCAAAAAAATAGATAAAATATATTTGCAGAATTTTCCGTAATGTAATCGTATTCTAGACACAATAGAGTACTCAAAAAAAAAAAAAGTTTTGAGCCATTGGGTGCATTTTTGGCATTTTTTTGCCACTTCAAACTTTCGAAAAAAAGAATTATTTTTAAAAAAAAAAAAAAAAAAATATTTAATTGTTTGATATCTTAGCCAATTATGGTCCGATGTCGGTGAAATTCACACACACATAAGATTTCACATTTAAGAGTAAGCTTTGTAAGTGGCATTAAAAAAATTCAAATAGTTTGGCCGTTATAGGCAAACAATGAAATTAGGACCGCGGTGCATTTTGCCCTTACGCCATATGCCCAATTTTGGGATTTCTCTTGCCCCCTTCTGGGAATCACTAGTCACATCTCTTAAGTTCAAAACGCATTTTTGTTTTTTCAAATATCTTAATTTTTACCAATGTTATAAAGAATTTAGTGTTTGAACATTTAACAAATTCAATTTTTCGACCTTCGTCGCCTCAAAATACTAAACAAATTTCAATCGTCCATACCGCGAGAACGGTGCATCGGATCAAAATTTCTCAAGAGATATAAAAATTAGCATTTTTCCTAAGCTTTCAAATGTCGTAAACTGCGTTTTAAAAATATTGATTTATTTTCGACATGCGCCTGCGCAAAATTGAAAAATTGACAAAATCCAAAATTTCGGCACTTTCGAAAAACTGCTACATTTTGTTTTGCCTTTTTTCGAAAAGTTCACCTCAAAATACATAGAATTCATTTTGTTTCATCTAATTACAATTTAATGTAAGCTCAAAACCCGTAATTTAATTCGATTATTAATGTCATAAATATGATAGTTTCATGCTAATGTTGAAAGTTTGTTATTAATTAAATCAAAATTTAAGTCCTTACCTCTGCTTTTAATTTCAAAAACAGATCGCCCATCGCTATTTAATAGCACATTTGTTAAAAGCATAAAATGATCTGAAATTCTTGGTGTTTTGATAACCTCAGTTGAAACCGAGTCATTATTTGTTATAACTAAATCTATTAGTGTACCTCCACCACTTCTATTTGGTCTTGTGCATTCTGTAACAATATTTTTTTAATCCAGTATCAATCAAAATATCACTTAATTTCACACTGTAAGTGTTTTTAGTCAACAGATCAATATTAAAATCTCCAGAAACAATAACTATTTCAGAATTATCACATAAATTTTCTTCAGCCCAAATGCTAAAACAATCTAAAAAATTTATACAGCTACTGCTAGGTGACCTATATAAAGATACAATTAAAAACATTTTTGTTTCCTAATATTACCATCACAGAAACAATCCAACAAATTTTTGGAACACAAAATTTAAAATATTTTAAAACCTTTAGTTCACTTTGTACATAAATTAAAGCACCCCCTGTGTGTCTACTTTCACTGTCAGCTGTATAATTTTTGTATCCGTCAATGACTATTTCTGAATCATAAATATCCTCAGTCAAGCAAGTTTCAGAAACACATACTAAACTTGGTTTTTTTGACAACACATAATTAGAGATTTCATCAATGTGGGTCACCAAGCTCTCAGCATTTTAATATAATATATTTATTGTACTTTTTGATTTGGATCTTGAGTTTGAGACTTTGTGGGAAAATCCTTATTGAATGTGGGTGTGATAGATACATTATCAAAAGAAGGAACAGTTAAATTATTTAAACCTGTCAAATCTATGGAACCCAAGTTTCTATTATTTATAGTGGCCAAACCAAAAATGAAATCTCTATTAAATTTAGAGCTTTTCCATTCTCACTAATAATAGAAACTGGCACTGACAAAAAGTACAGTTCCAAGAAATTCGAACAGTCAAACAAAAACTTCATTGTGTCTCTTATTACCAAATGCGTTAATTTTTATTTATAAAATCAAACACGGGTTACTTCCAATGTACTTAAAAGAGAAGCTTAATTATCACTCTAATGTGCACAATTATCCAACAAGGAACAGAAATAACTTTTAAATTGAAACAGTTGCTAAGAGTGCAACACAAAATTCACTATTTTTTAAAGGTCTAAATCAATACGCACTTCCAGAGAAAATTAAATCAGTAACGTCTGTAACTACATTTAAAGTCAAAGTGACAGATTTCTTAATTGATGAATATTTCTCCAGAAACAGTAACAACCTATAGAATTTTAGTTAGTTTTAATTGTATCTAAATTATCTATGTTTCGACTTATATGTATATTTTTACTAAATTTGTATATTGTGATATTAGCAAACTAGCTAAATAAAGGAAATTATAATAATATATAAATCTTTGCGACGTTTTTCCGTCCATGAATCTTTATTCCACACTATAAACTCTGCCTGCCGTGCTTTACTACTACTTATTGAAGATTTCTTTCTTTCTTTTACAGAGGGGTACGTGCGACTTACGTTAAACACGCCTACGATTTTTACAAACCTGATCTAACTTCAGAATATCCAGTCGTCGATGGTAAATTATCGATACAGTGCTATCTGAACGCGTTGGATCAATGTTATCAATTATATAAGAAAAAAGTGGCCGAAAAGACCCAAAAGAAAGTTAATTTGAGCGATTTCGACGCAGTATTATTCCACACGCCCTATTGCAAGCTCGTACAAAAAAGTTTAGGAAGATTATCTTTAATAGACTTCTTACAGAATCCGAATAACGTTGGTGGGTTAGAAAAATTCAAAAATATCAAATTGGAAGACAGCTATTTCGATAGGGACGTAGAAAAGGCCTTTTTGGACGTCAGTAAACAGTATTTTATAGATAAAACCAAACCGTCTTTACTAGTAGCATCGCAAGTGGGTAATACGTACACTTCATCGTTATACGGAGGTTTAATTTCGCTATTATCGACTAAATCGTCTCGAGAACTATCTGGTAATAAAATAGTGTTGTTTTCTTACGGTTCTGGGTTAGCAGCAACGATGTTTTCCATCACCGTTAAACCTAATGACGCTTTGAATAAAATCGTTTCACATTTGGGGTCTCTCAAGAGGCATTTGGAGCAGAGACAGAAAGTAGACCCGATGAAGTTCGAGAAGTGCCTGGAATTGAGACAGGAGACCTGTCACAAAGCTCCGTATGAACCAGTGAGTTGTGTAGATGGGTTCTTTCCGGGAACCTATTATTTGACCAAAATAGATGAAATGCACAGGAGGTTCTATCAGAGGGTACCGAATGTCATCAATGGGTATTCCTAGTATTTACTTAGGTATCAAAAATGGTTGATAGTATTATTTTAGTTGTAATAGAATGATGTAGAGGCAGGGTTGGAAAAAACCAGGAATAAAAAAATATAAGTAGGTTTTTAGTTTATTATGTCAAAAGTTATTATTAATAAAGTTAAACAAAAAAGTATCAATATCAATGGTGAAGGAAAATATAACCTAAACGTTAAAAACATTAGTAAAATTGTAAATTCTAAATGTTTATCTTAAAAAACCTAAATTTGTTAAATTTTCACTTTTAAACCTAAAAAACCTAGGTGCAAAAAACCTGTACCACCTGCCAACCCTGTTAAAAGGTGTGCTGTATTTTTTTGAAACAAAAATGGTGCTCTTTTTATGAAATTATTTTTAAAATAAAAAAAATTTCATAACATATTTTTGTACAGTTTGGAAAAAATATATTTTTAAATCGTGTTAGAGCAAAGGAATATTCGAAATATACAAAAATTTGAAAAAAAATTGATTTTATTTATTTGAACTTAAAATTGTTGGCTAAAATATTACTGTTTAAAAAATATTTTAAATTGTATTTTATTTGTTTTTAAATTACGGGGGAGATGCAATATTTTTTCAATAAATTTTAATATTTATTTTAAAATATAAAAATTAATAATTTAACATTTTGGTGTCCTCTCTGATATAAGCATCAAAATTATTTTAATTAATTTATAATTATTGTTAATAAAAATGATTTTTCTTATATGTATGTTGTTTTTTTTTTTCAATTTAAATCGGCAATTATTTATTTATTAATTTTTTCTATATTAATTATTTTTGTTCATGTTTAAATAAGTGAATAATTTAAGATAAAATTAATGAATAGAAATTTATTAAAACAGTGGTACGAATTTTTACAAATGCCGAATTGTAGTTCAAAGTTTTAGATTATCTGCCAGTTACAAAATGATACAAATTGCAGTCTAAATAAAGGTACAATTTTAAATATGTATGGATGTATCTTAAAAATCATTTTTAAAATATTTATAAGTAGATAAGATTTACATTAATTACAAAAATAATATTATCTTAATGTATTCTTATATACGGGGTATCCCAAATTATATAAAACGGAGACAGGTTAAAGATCTCATAATTTTAAGCAAAAAGGTTCATATTAACAATTGTCCGATTTTCATAATTAGTAAAGTTACTGGTGGTTCAAAATTGAGAAAAATTATACATTTTCCGTTGCACGCTATTTGTGATATTTGATATTTTCTTGGTTTTTTAATTAGTTATCTAACTTTTACATCTCTTGACTTTTGATCGAATTTTGATCTATAAATTGACACATTTTAACAACTTATAACTCGAGAATTAAAAAAGATATCGAGATGCAGTTTTCACTAGACCTTCTACATTTACTTCAAGTTTTTCTGGAAAGTGCCGAAAAAAATAACGAACTTTTTTGAATCAAAATTGAGAGCTTATTTTAAATAGAACACCCTATAATTTTTAACATCCTCGGAAAGACCATTTCTTCCCCTTTCCAAAAATGTATACATTGTAAGCATTTACTTTAAATTTTAGGGAAACATTCACTTTTTTATGCAACCATGTCAATAACTTCCAAACGTAAAGTATCATAATTAATTAACTTATAATTTGGGAGTAAGGCAATGTATTGATAAAAGGTTTTCACCAAAATTCTTGGAAATGTTTAAATTTTTTTCTGACATAGTTGCCAAATCTTAAACATTTCGTATCTCTCATAGTCATTAGATAGTTTATTTCTTCGCCTTTTAAAAAAAGTCAATTTTTTATAATTTTTTTATTGCTTTAATAGGTTTTAATTTTAGGTAATTAAATCAATGTTAACGGTGTCTATTACATTTTGGTGGCACATATCGAAATATAAATTGACGTTTTACATCGAACGATACTGTTTTTCATTGCCTTGTCCCTTAGGTATAAATTTCAGAATAATATCAAGTAATGATATTTTACTTATAAAGAGAGAGGGGAGCACCTCATACCACACGGATTTTTGTGGCGTAAGGGGTGTCCCACCATGTTGGTACCTATCTGAATTTTTATTGAATACAAAAAATATGTACTAAAACATTAATAAATTAATTGTTGAATATGGCCTCCATTTTGTTCAATACATGTATGCAGACGCATTAAAAAATTTGTAAATGCATTTTGCGGCATTTCTGGGGTAATTGTATTAAACACATGAATTATATTATTCCTCAGTTCAGTTAAGTTTGTAGGTGTTGGATCGTAGCATCTTTCCTTAACATACCCCCATATATAAAAAAATCTGGTATAGTTAAATCCGGAGAATATGGAGCCTAACCTAACCTTACCTGTTTTTCTGAAATTTTTATTTATAAAGGGATACATTTGAAGCATATTTTTTAACCTGCATTTTCAACCCCTTGGTGGGGACAATCACATCCTTAAAAATAGGGAGAAGGCCTAAATATTTTAAAGGGCAAACAATTTATTTTCTTATGATACCCTATTTATTGGATTTTACTTGAACAGTTAATCCGAAAACGGCTTTAGAAACCTCAACCCTGCAGTTTTGGTATTATACATATCGAAAAATTCACTTAAATTTTGGTCATTAATAGTGTCACGCTTAACGGTTAGGGGGTGGTAATTATTCTTTTTAATGTGATTAGGGGTCCTCGCTTGGCCTGAGAGGTAAAAATAGACACTCACCCACTTCCGCTAAGCGCGCTCTAGCCGATGTTAATCTCAAAAAGCTCAGATTAACTTCTTGGTTTAGAAGGAATCTGCGCCACTTAAGATAAACCTCGGGTGACTTAAATTACCGTATAAGGAACTAAACTAGTAATAATAGAAACACCATGTATAAAAAATTCACAAACACTTTATTAAATGTCCGTAATTAAAGGACTCAAAAGACAATCAAAAATCGATATAATAATAATAATAATAAAATTTGGGGTCCTTACCTCATTGTCATGGAGCAGTCACAATTTTTACTTTACTTTATTTTATTTTATCCCCAGAAATATTTATTAGTATTTATTTTGTATAATTATATTTTTATGTTATATATATTTTACAAACCCCAATTATTTTCTCTGTGATCGATTGCGACCACCTTTTTTGCCGTCCCGCAAAACTCTCAATGACCCCCTAAAAAATCAACCGACTAGGTTCGATTTCGCAAGACTTCCAAAATCGTCGAGTCAGCACAAAGTTCATTAGTTTTTAACTTAATTGTTATGAAACTATGAAATGCATTCTCTACGATTTAAAAGTATTTCGAAATCGACCTACTATTCAGAAATAATTTAACATACAGGATGTTAAATTATTTACTGAGCCGAATGAAAATCAATTAATTCAATTTAAGGAATAATTGTGACATGCCTCCCCTCCAAGAAAACCGGACCCCGGTTTTAAAAGTGACAAATATGTTGTCATACAAATGTGTAAAAGAAAAGGGTATACACAATACATACAAAAGAAATATATATAAAAAAAAAAACAAATTATTTAAAAATGAATAGGTAAATATATGAATTGTCTAGTTGAATAGAAAAAAATATTCACTAATTCCAAAAAAAAAAAATAAATTACTACACAAGTCTTTTTATTCTTACGCTCACTCACACACTTGTTTTTTCGTAAAATCCATCTCTCAATTAATGTTTGACCGATTTGCACACTATTGGACACTGAAGGTAAGTCCGTCCCTGGCACATCTCAATTCTGTTTCGGTGTTCCCTTCTCGGTACTGACAGATGAGATGAACAGAATTCTTCTAGTCAAAACAACTACAATAAGTAGGTACTAAATTTTAATAAAAACTTACGACTGAAATTCCAATGAAAACTAGATCTACTCTAATTTAAAACGAAATTTCTGATTTATCGTTTGCTTTGTAGTAAAGAAACTTAGATAAAAGAGACCAGAGATATAACATACACCGGTTTTAAACCTGCGCAAATGTTGCCAATTTCTAAAGAAGGGTTAACGGAGTGGGGGAACTGGGCGGCGACACGCGGTGACCCGAACTCTGTGATAGGGACCGGACTTTGTTTATTAGCATCTTAATGAACTATTAGGTTTATTTAAAATGTGTTTAATCGAATTTTATATTATGAAATAAAATTAACGTGATTTTTTAATATCAAACAGATGCCACGACATTTTATGTAAAGAGAAGACCTTTTATAGAATATTTCGTTAGCGTTTATTTACTACGGACTTTTCTGCAAGAGATTACAGTAAAATGTTGAAATAGAATATATTGTTAATAGAGCAAAAAATGTTACTCATTGTCTACGAGTATTATAAAAATAGCATGTGCGCAGGCTAATACTGCAAATCTACCCTTATGAGTTGAACATTATATTTTTTCTACGGCTATTACATATTATTAAAAATTAGTCAAAATGAGAAAATGCTGTTTTGTATTGTAACCTCAGAAAAAAGTATATTAAGGCTTCTTTCTTTAAGAATATTAATTATTATGAAGGATGAGTCACATAAAACTCTAGAAATGCATATGTCTGAAACCAGATAACATTTTAAAATTTAAATCTATTAAAAGTCATTTGGTCGCTAGGGATTAGTGATTATCGAAATAAATTATCGATCATTGAAAATAATCGATTATTTTCGATCAATCGATTATTTTCAAACAATATATTTTTTGTCATTTCCTTTAAAATCGACTACTTGATTATCTTTGAAAAATCAAAAATAATCGATTAATTAAAAAGCCAATTAACCGATAAATCAGTGTTTACAAAATATAATATAAATAGAATTATCGTTTATTTTAAATAATCGATTATTTTCAAATAAACCATTTTTTTTCGTCCATGGAAACAGATTATTCGATAATCTTTGAAAAATCGAAAATAATCGATTAATAAAAAATAATCGATTAATTAAAAAGTCGATTAACTGATAAATCGATTTAAAAAAAAAAACAGAGTGATCGATTATTTTAAATAATTGATTATTTTCGATCAATCGATTATTATCAATAATCTATTTTTATTGTATTTCCTTTAAAATCGTTAATTCGATTATCTTTGAAATACCGAAAATAATCGATAATTCCAAAATAATCGCCTAATCGAAAATAATCAATTAATTAAGAAGCCGATTCTATGATAAATCGATTATTACCAATAATCTATTTTATTGTATTTCAAAAATAATCGATTAATTAAAAAGTCGATTAACTGTCAAATCGATTTTCAAAAAAAAAACAGAATGATCGATTATTTTAAATAATCGATTATTTTCGATCAATCGATTATTATCAATAATCTATTTTTATTGTATTTCCTTTAAAATCGATAATTCGATTATCTTTGAAATACCAAAAATAATCAATAATTCCAAAATAATCGCCTAATCGAAAATAACCAATTAATTAAGAAGCCGATTCTATGATAAATCGATTTTCCAAAAAATAAAACGAATTATCTATTATTTTCTAATAATCCTTTTTTCATATTTCCTTTGAAATTGATTATTCGATTATCGAAAATAATTGATTATTAAAAAGCTGATTATCCAATAAATCGATAATTTTAAAAAAATAACAAAAATATC